CTATCCCAGGCTACTTTGGAGGGTCATCCTGAGTTTGCAGATAAATTCTTCCTTCCTCTTTGGACTCATTTAGAAGAAAGTTGTAACTATGGAAATGATGTAACTAGCCTGTTAACGTCCACAACTTCCTGTTAAAAATCCCTAGTGAAATGTGGAGAGGTTGGCTTTTGGCCTTCGTGTTCACCATCATCACCATCATATAATATTTATGAAACACCACACACATATAATTCTGAATGGAGCCAAGCACAGAGATCACATCCACTTTCCTCAAGGGACTTGTAATTTAACCTTGGTCTGGTATGCTACTTAGACCAGGTGTGGTTACACAAGAAGGAGGCTGCTGCCAGCAACCACACATTAATATCAATCTCTCTATTTTAGAATAAGTCCAGGAATATGTTAGGCATGGATGTAGTAAAGTAGCCAAGAAAGGGGAAAGCTGCCAGACATCTTTTAAGGTCTCAGAATATTAGGTTTATAATTTAACCTTTCCACAGGATGGTTGTGGAAAGAACAGTGTAACCACATTTTTGTTCCTCACTTTACTGTAAATGTTTCATAAAAGTTAAAACAATCATCTCACACTAGGAGTAGTATTATTGCCCTTGCTCCTCAAGTTAAAGGATTACCTACTTTTACGATTCTCTTCTAGCATGCTCACGGAAAAACATCCCGAAATTACCTAAGTTTCTCTCCTGTTCTCTTCTGAATTTGTGTAAGTAACCTCAGACATCAGAGTGGATACTAGAAACTAAAAAATCTGAACTTTTCCCAAGTAACCAAATATTTAGCGTTGTGCAGAACCAATAGCCTAGCAAGTGATTGAATTTCTTAGTTTTCATTCAATATTTGTAAAGGCGCATTTTTAATGTTAGAAGCAATACTTAACTTGACACCTTTTTAAAAATTTGCCTGTTCTGTATGCAAGACTATTTATAGCCTAAGATTTATATAAGATCATTCATATAACTCCATGCCATTATTTTCAAATTTCTAACATTAAGTAATTTAATCAGTGTAAATTGAAAATCATACTCAGTGATAAAAATATATGAAATTATACATCTACATTTTTAAATTTCAAAATATCCCATGTGATTTTGAAAAGTAACTTTATCTTGATATAATCCACTAAATTTTATAACCTATAAAAAAGGAAAAGAACCATGTGCTCTGTAACTATGAACAGCAAACTTCCAAAAACATTCAAAATTTGTATGTGATCTTAAAGGTCACTTTAAAAATATTTTTGGGTAGTGGTGCATGTGTTTTTAAAAGTTGGTTTATCTAGCTACCCCAGTCAGAAATCTTATCAGTACTGGCTAGACATGGTAGCTCAAGCCTGTAATCTTAGCACTTTGGGAGACTGAGGCAGGCTGATCGCTTTGAGCCCAGGAGTTCAAGACTAGCCCGGGCAACATGGCAAAACCCTGTTTCTACAAAAAAAATTAAAAATCCCCACAACTAGCCAAGGAAGTTGGCACACGCCTATAGTCCCTGCTACTCAGGAGGCTGAGGTAGAGGATCGCTTGAGCCCGGGAGGTCCAGGCTGAGTGACACAGGGAGACCCTGTCTTGAAAAAACAATTATTAAAAAAAATCTTATCAGTAGTATTACACAACTACACATATAGTGGGGACTTAAAAAATATTTGTGGAGGCACTTACGACGTATGGATATTTAATGTGCCTACTGATCTTGAAGAACCTTCTGAATTGCTTTTTAAAAATATTTAAGTATATTAAAACAATTTTATTCCTAGAAAATTGATACAATTTATATGGTTAGAAATATGCTCTTAATCAGAATATTCAGTTAAATAGAATACTTCTTCGCATACTCTTCTGCATAACTGAGAATTTACTGTATTTTAATACTAATACTCCTTTCGATTTATAGAGTATCTTTCAAGATGTGAAGACTTTTTTTCTGTTGGTTGCTGTCAAGTAAATTCTGTTTTATGTAAACATTTTAAAATTATTTTGACGACATTGATTATCTCTCATTTACAGGGATGATATATATCAGTTATAACACAACAAAGAAAAATAGTCCCTCTTCTTGAGGGACTATCATTGCAAAATGTATTCAAAACCATATCCTTACATTTTGCTGAACATAAAAAGTTATAAAGAGTATCTAATTCCACATGAATAAAGATGTTGAATAAATTCAATGGTGACACAACTGGAAGGAACTGATACCTGAGAATCAGACACATGAGAATCACCACGTATTTTTTCAAGAGTTTTAAGTGGACAATATTTGAACAAGTAGCCTAGAGCTTCCTGCTGGCCCTGAAAGCTGGTGTTGTGTGACTGAGCAGATGAAATGTGCTGGGGGGCCATGAGCTCACAGTGACCTCCCCTCACACACACTTCCATGCTTTTCTGATCCTGCTGACTTCCAGGAAAGGGATGGCGCCCACTCTCTGGAGTTTCCATGAGACCATTATCTTTTCTATTTGTACTTACCCAATGCAAGTCCTTAGTTCCAACTCTGGACTTCTCTGGGCTCCAGATTAGGACAGGTTATGGAGAGGGATTATGGCCTCCCTCCAAAGAGCTGGTCTCCTTTGAAATGTGGCTCTGAAATATTTTCAAGTCTAGATTTTTTTTTATTAAGTTTATAATTCTTCCTGGGGACCTCAGTAGGTTTTTAAAGAGAAGAACCAAAGATTGTGGAATAATTCTTATCATGATACTGATTCAATATTTAAGAATTAAAAATAGTATATTTTGCTGTATAATTTTTATCTATTTTGGGGTACATTTTATCAAGCCATTTGCTTTAGTTAGCAGCCAGATTAACTAAATTTTAATTGCAGCTATGGCAGTAGTTAGTTTTGTGACCTCAGAGAAAGTTTTGTCTCATTTTTTTCATTGGTAAAAATGAAGAAGTTGAATGGATGATTTATAAGATTCCTTCCAGTTCTAAATTTTGTTATTCTGAATTTGGAATCTTAACAGTGTATTGATTTACTAACCCAATAATATAATCTCTCAGAATAATTTCCATGCTGCTTTTTCCTTCACATTACTAGGATGAAAACATTCATATACCCTCTCTTGTGATCATCTGCTTTAACATTCTTTGTCATTCAGAACCACTCATATGTTAATGAAATTAGAGGTCCAGAATATTACCTTGTTCTGTGACTAGTGGTAATGTTAAGAGTTTGTCACACTGCTGTTTCTCCATCTGCAAAATGACTTAATGATGCTTGACCTGTGTTACACATAGGGTTTGGTAGTATAGATAAAAACTGGATGTCTCACAATAAAGATACAACATAAATTCAAAGGAGTATTTCCAATTATTCAGATAATCTGTGATAGTAACTTCAGTGTCCATAAATCATTCTTGGATCTGTTCTTAAGAACTTCTATTTAAGACTTCTATGTTGCTTAGTGGAAAAAGTTAATTGCAGAAGAAATGTATCTATGTTGAGCAATATAGCCATGTTTCAAGAAGCTCCTCAGCCTCTAAGGCTCAGTAAAAACAGCCCTCCAGAGTGCATAAGAAAATTAAATGGTGGTGGCAAAGATGGAAAAGATTTCCTTTAATACTCTGCCTTCTCTGAAACTTCTAGAGTGATGAAAATGTAGATACTGACTGTGGTGCTGGTTACCATGGTGTATACATTTGTCAAAACACATCAAACTAAGCTGGGTGTGGTGGCACATGCCTGTAGTTACAGCTCCTCTGGAGGATGACGTGGAAGGATCTCTTGAGACAAGGAGTTCGAGCCTGTAGTGCGCTTATGATCGTGCCTATGGATAGCCACTGCGCTCCAGCCTGGGCAAGAGAGTAAGAGCATATCTTTAAAAAAACCAAAAACCAAAAAACACGTCAAACTCTACATTTAAAATGGATGCATTCTGTTGAATGTAAATGTAATCAACACAAATAAAGCTGATTAAAGAAAAGGAAAAAAAAACAAACAAACAAACAGAAAAAACAGCTCTCTGACAAACTGGTAATCAGACAAAAGGAAGTCAGAGGACCTGAATGTTTGTTTCAGAAATAAACCTTGTTCCTTTAGGGAAATCTCGAAACTTCTGTTTCTACCTTCTCTGGTGGGAAAGTGAGATTAAATTATTGCTCCTTTTAGTTTCTGCCCTGCAGTAAGATAAAGTAATATGGTGAAAATGATTCTTAACTTTTTAAGTTTGGGTTGCTTTGAGAAGCTTATAAAAGCTACATTTTTCTCTAGAAAGATGTCATAAAAATTGCATACCATTTCAGGGGCTTCACAGCCCTCCCTTCCCCAAATTCATCCATGAAACTCCAGCAAAGAATTATTGGCTTAGTGTTTAGAAGTGAAAGTTCTATGAACCTAGAGTAGTAGGTAAGGGTAGATGAGAAAAAGTTTGTTCTTGTTTTTTTTGTTTTTTTGTTTTTTTTCCCTTAGCCCCTCTGTGTGCCGCGGAATGAGAATACACTGTTACACAAAGAAAACAGCCCTTGCTTTTAAGAAACTTTTGATTGAAGTGTAGATACTTCATCACAGACAATTATCATACTCTTGTGGTGTCAAATATTATTATTAGTCTATCAAATTAAGTACTGCCCTAGCTTTGTTGTTACTAGCTCATAGTTTATCTGGGAATGTATCACTTGAAAATTTTGCTGCCAAAATGATTCTAACACCTGGTATTATAATCAAGTACTTACAGTTCTCTTTCTTTCTCCTTCCTCCTATACTCCCTCCACCTCTCTATCTTTTTCTAACACTTCCATCTCATTTGTCTGTTCTCCTCTTCTCCGTCTTTCTTTTTTAGTTCTCTGTCTGGTCTCTCTTCTTTCAGTCCTCCCTATTGTCTGCCTTATCTCTCTCTCTGTCTCTCTCTCTCTCTCTCTCTCTCTCTCTCTCTCTGTCTCTCTCTCTCTTCCTTTTCTCCTAAGCTTTCTTCTCTCCATTTTCATCTTCTTAGTGCTCCTGTCTAGGTAAACAGTTAATGTACAGGGAAAACTCTGTATTTAATCAGCCCGAATTACAATGATCAATTTCTTCCTTTATATTGCCATCAGGAAATGCCTCCTAAGGTGTATTATACTAGTTATGCTTTATTTTCATTGGCTTAGAAGTGCAAGATCTTCTGGGGTGATTGATGTCCCCCAGGGCTATTAAAGTTGCCCAAGTTTGCTTCAGTTGCTCCTGGTTTACTTCAGATTAAGCCTGGAAGAAAGAAAAAATGTAGCTGTGATTATTGCCGTTTTTCTTTTCTTTCCATTTTCCACATGTGGAAGATTGCTTAGTAACCCTTTAGGACCCTTAATGACCCTTTGATGTTGGTCTTTATGGCAGGACCACCAGTAATTGTGGAATGAACACTTCACTCACACAAAGGATGAAACTCACAGGTCCTGCCTCCCAGAGGGGCTCCAGTCATGGCAAAGCTGAGCTCAAGAACCCACACTGGGTGCCATTGAGCCATGATAAATGGCCCCAGTCATAAATAGTTTATATTTATTGCCAAACAGAAAATATATTTTTCTTCCTTCTTGGGAATAGTTGGGCTACTTGCTTGCTGTTCCTTCTCAGTGAGACTTTTCTCCAAATAGGAACAGTGAATGATGATGTTGAGCTATAAGACATACCTGAATTTCACCTTGTAGTAGGATTAATAGTAATTCCACTAGTGGCCCTTCTAATTAATTTCTCCCATCCTTTCACAGAACCATGACGGCAGCATCGACTTCCGAGAGTATGTGATTGGCCTGGCTGTCTTGTGCAACCCTGCCAATACAGAGGAGATCATCCAAGTGGCATTTAAGGTAATGTCAGCCCCATTGAAAGCATCTTGGTCTGCCTTGTAAACAAGTGTTGACTCTAAGTGTATTATTTGGAAATCAGTGAATCTATTACATGATTTTATAGATCTGCTGTGACATGTACAGGACAATAATGTGATTAAATCAGTTGCTACTGAGAATAAAGAAAACACAAGCATTTGTTTACACAAAAAGTCTCTAGAAGTAGCCTAATTAACAGCATCAAGATTGAAGAGCAGGAGATTTCACAAGCTAACTTAAAAAATTATTTCTTTTCAGCTTCCCCATTTTGAAGCCCCAAAGGGGAAATTTATAAATAAACACCACCTGTCACTAGTCATCCTAATTCACTCTCTGGAAAGTTCTGATCTATCCTTATTTTCTCATTCTGTATGTCAGTGATATTTTCAGTGGTACTTTTTTTAAATGACATTTGTTTTGTCATTGTGGCATCAAGTGAACACCATCATAAATGTCCCAAGTTCCTGCCCCTCATGGCTTTCTGTAGTATCACATATATTTTCACAGCAATACAGGGGTCTAAATTGGGAGCTGATGAATAAAATTCATATCCCTGGTTCCCACAGAGCTTGATGAAAGTTTGAATTTTGAGGACCATTTACTTACAAGTGCAAAAGAAGAGGGAAGAATACATTCCCAAAATGTGGGTTCTGTTCTGAGAGTAAAGGGGCTTCATCTAATCAGTATGTTTAAATATGATATGCCCTTTTTGTTCTAAGGTCGTCTCTCAAGTAAAAGAGAAACTTGATTTCTCTCGTTGTCTTGCTAAGCTGTGTATATTTGCCCTTGTTGTACAGCCACGTAGTTCCCTTGCTTTCGTCCAGCAGGAGAGCTGCAGACCTTCTCTGTTTCTGTTTTCTTTTTTTCTTTTTTTTTTCTGAGACGGAGTCTCACTCTATTGCCCAGGCTGGAGTGCAGTGGCGCAATCTCGGCTCACTGCAAGTTCCACCTCCCAGGTTCACGCCGTTCTCCCGCCTCAGCCTCCCGCGTAGCTGGGACTACAGGTGCCCACCACCACGCCTGGCTAATTTTTTGTATTTTTCATAGAGACACGGTTTCACCATGTTAGCCAGGATGGTCTTGGTCTCCTGACCTCATGATCCGCCCGCCTCCGTCTCCCAAAGTGCTGGGATTACAGGTGTGAGCCACCGCGCCTGGCCTTCTGTTTCTGTTTTCTACTCATCTTTTCCTGACTTTCTTGGAGAAGAATGTCTCCCTGCAATTCCAAGAAGTCTTTTCCCCCTCTATTATCTAGAAAGACTTTCTTCTTCCAAGAGTTCATTTCTTATGTCTTAGAGGCCACTTGGGATGAGCCTTAGGAATTTTCATGTGCACTATCATTGATAGAAGAGCCTCTGAGTTTACTTTTTATTTCAGATTGGTTTAAACTGAGTTAACTGCTAGGCCTGTAAAGAACCTAAATGGTTGATGCTTAGCAGATGGTCATAAGGCAAGGGCCAGACTTTTTCCAGAGTTTAAATCCTTCAGCTTTTACAGACTTATTCATCATAAAACCTAAAATTACACACAGCTAACTTATTCTGATCTAGATATTTCTGTTTCTGTTTGGGGATTGTATGTGTAATTGTAAGTTTAGTTGAGCAAATGGTCATTTTTGGTTTACCAATGAAAGGCCTGATATAAAATTTGGCCTTTAATCACAGTAATTACGTTTTGAAAGAAGCTGTGAGATTTTTATCTAGCTTAGACCTTGGTTTGGGGAAGGGGAAGGGAAGAAAGGAAGGCTTAAAACTATAATTACCTTTTTTTTTCAGTAAGGCAAGAATTATGCTTTACATTGGTTATTTTTTAACCCTCCTTTTCAAATGTGTTTTATGTTTTGGAAGTGTTTTTGCATACTTTTTATTTAGTAGTATCCTTTTATATATAGGATTCTTTTACATACTTTTATTTGGATAGCACTTCACAGTTAATTTCCCATCTTTTATCTTATTTCACCTTCACAGTGACACTTAGAGGTAGAATAGTAGTCAGGATTCTTCATTTGCAAGCAGTAAGATAGACTGGCTGACTGACGCCAAAGTGGAATTATTTGTAAGGCCAGGGAGTAGACTCAAGGGAAAACTCACAGCCAGGCAGATTCAGAGGTCCTGGCTGCAGGAATATCCTTACACCCTCCCTGGGCACTGCAGTTAAAATGAGCAAACTTCAACTCTGTTCATAATACACATTTCAGGGAGGGTCCAGCTGGTCCTGGGCCATGTGCTTGATGGGAAAGACAGAATGTTTTCATTAAGATTCCACATTATTCTGTGCAATGGGGAGATATCAGTCCCCATTTCAAAGGAAACTGAGGTGTTAAACTTTCTACCAGAGTCCGGATCATGCATGGGGTTTACCTTAGATCTAGGAACTTTGTAGTGGGTAGTGACGAGCAAGTGAGGGAAATTGAAGAGTTTAGTGAGGGGAGTTATGGCAAAGGGCACATATAGAAGAAATAAAAGTATCTAGTATGGACCATGTAAAAGGAACTTACACAGAAGTGAGAGACACCAAAGCACCAAACCTGGCAAGAATTTAGACTGTTCAGATGAGTTGGTGCAAACTGTTTAGAAATGGAAGGCCTCTGAAGAAAGCTTAGAGCTTGTGAGGAGGGAGCTATGACTGAGTCCCAGCAATTACTGTGTGAAGTCCAAGGCACATGAAGAGCCTGAGGTCTACAGTTTGTGAAAACAGATGCCAATTCACTTTTCACTTTTCAACTATTGTATCCCCTAACTAGGGACTGAGTGGTAAGAAATGGAATTGAGACCAGAGCTTTGTCTGCTGGGGCAACAAATCTCAATTTCAAGTTACATTTTTTTTATTCTCCTACCCTTTAGGGACCATTAAAACATGATTCAGTATTTGCTTATTATTTTTTTCATAGTTATCACCCCTTATCTAATACCTGTTTTTCTCCGTTTTTGATCTTGTATTTGGTCAGAAGTAGAAATCTCAACATCAGGAACTCTAGATATTATCTGCCTGGATTTGGATGCCCCCTGTACTACTTGCAAGTGGTGTGACCTTGGGAAAAGTTACCTAACTTCCTTGTGCCTCAGCTTTCCCATCTGTAAGATAGGACTGACAGTGGCACCTACCATAAGACTATTGTGAGGGTTGAGTGAGTTAATACATGTAAAGTGATTTGAACACTTTTGATCAGTGCTTATAAAAAGTAAGTACTCATATAATTAAAAATTCTTAAGACCCAGGAGAGGATTTTGAATATGGAATATTAATTATCCATCAGTTATCCTTATTTTGCTGCATGACTTTCAGTCTACTCCACTCTACTGCCTTTTCCCCTCCTCCTAAAACATATTCAGTCTCTCCCTTCCTAAAATAACCTCTTTTGTGTTTGGGTACTACCCCAATTATCTCTTTCCCTTTGTTTCATAATTTCTTAAAATGAAGAGTCCATACTTCTTGCCTCTGCTTTTCACTTCTATTCATCTCATGATTCCCATTACAATCTGGCTTCCGGTCCCCTGAAATTGTTTACTAAAGTCATCAGGATCCTCTGATAATCAAATCCAACAAACGGTTTTGCTTCTTGCTTGGCCCTCCTATGGCATTTTGCTCTGTTAGCCCTTACCACTGTTAGCATCTCTTTCTCTTTCCTGAACACACCCCCTTAGCTTCTAAGATGCATGCTCTTATTTCCTGGTTCTCTTGTCTGGCTGCTGCTTCTAAGCCTTTTCTGTCAGTTCCTCTTCACTACTCATACCTCAACTGTTGCTGTTCCCAGGCCTTGCTTTACTTTGTGCATTCTCTACAGATAAGCTGAAACATGCCTATAGTTTCCATTTTTACCCAAATTCATATCTCAAGACTCCTCAGTTTCCTAAACTGATATTCTGAATCTCTTATTTACTCCTGGAACCTCTGATTCAAATTTAACCTATCTAGATCTAATTCTTGATCTCATTGGCACTTGTTCTGTTTTCCCACTTCGGTTAATGTAATCAGCTTTCACCCAGTTGCCTAAGCTAGAAGATATCATTTTTACTTCTGTCCTTTCCATCACTACAGACCCCTTATTGATATGCAAGTCTTGTCTTTGCTTTTTATGAATTCTGTCCCTTCCTATCCTTCCTACATCTCAAAACCAGACTCTTAATTGGTTTTCCTGCCTCTGGTTTTATCAACCTCTTGCTCCCAATTCATCCTCCATACTCTGCCTCAAAGTTTTCTCAGTTCTCATGGGATCATACTACCTTCACTCCCATTATAATCCTACAGGATTTGGTGAGGAATTATATACACACCATGATCTGATTCCTGTTTGTCTCTATCTCCTGACTGGAGCCCCAAGCAATCACTTGCCATTCCCTGTATATTCTGGGAACTTCTCTTAATGTTCTAAGACCCAACTCAAATGTCAACTCCTGTGAAGCCTTCTTGGACCTCTCTGGGTAGGATTCATTATGTTCCCCATGGAGCTCCCCTGTTATGTACCATCAGTATAGCTCCTGTTTTAATCCTGTCTCTCTCAACCGTCAAGCTACAGGTGTTGTGAGGGTAGCAGAGATGATACTTTCCTAATATACATATTTCTAGCCCGTGCCACAGTAGATGTTTGAATTATTAAAGACTTTATTTTCTAAGATTATTCCCTACCACTATGACCCTGAGGGAACTAATTCTTACATTTTATTTTCTTCAGCTCTTTGATGTTGATGAGGATGGCTACATAACAGAGGAAGAGTTCTCTACCATTCTACAGGCTTCCCTTGGAGTGCCTGACCTTGATGTTTCTGGTCTCTTCAAAGAAATAGCCCAAGGGGACTCAATTTCCTATGGTGAGTAGGCAATTTGGCCTCCTGACTTAGTTTACAAGGAGGGCATCCAGACTATGGACTGATGATCAAGAGTGCTGTTTGTCTTAACTAATTACATTAATAATAGACATAATAGTAATAATGATGACCACAGTAATAATA